ATAATACAGAATACAGAAGCCTGATGATGGCAGATGAGATTCTGCCGAAACACACAATACAGAAGCCTGATGATGGCAGATGAGATTCTGCCGAAACGTTCCTACAACTTTAAAAGCACAACTATAATGATGTGGGAAAATACCCGAACAAAGCTGAATACCATATATATATAAATATATATACACATACATACACACACACACACACACACACACGTAAAATGTAAACATAATAGATGTATGGTATACACACACACACACACACCTGAATATCCCAAATATATAAAAACTTTATCTCTTTATTGTCATGTTTCAGCGATATTGATGATGATGAGAGGGGGCGTGAGGGAGGAGAGATAATAGATAGATAGACAGACAGACAAATAGATAGATAAATGATAGATGATAGATAAATAAATGATAGACAGACAGATATAAAATCATTTTGTGGAAACTGCTTTTAGAAGCCTTTTTTCAGGTATTTGTAAGGACATTAATCTATTAATTAATTTATCTATTAATTTCTTTTAATAGATAAATTTTGTTTCTAATTTACCTGTATATCCAAAATATATAAAAAGTCTTTAGCTGTTTATGGCCTTGTTTCAGAAAGCTATACTAGATCATCACATCAGGTATGAGATGGAATAATTAAATTAAAATTGGTGAGCCTAATCAAACTAAGATGTTACAGGGTTTTTTTTTTCTACATATCTAGTGCTGACAGTTCATCCATTGTTCCAATATTAAAAGTAGTTGTTGACTTCTCACTGCCTCAGAAAGGGAGCTTTTATGGCCCATAAAGCACTTCCAGCTGTTCTGAAATGTAATACTGCCCTCCCAGGACAAATGAAGCTGCTGTGCCCTACACTGCTTCAGCCTGTTCCCCATCCTACCCTACACAAGAGCCCTCAGCCAGCTCCAGTGCCCAATAGGGCACCAAGTATCTTTCCATTCATCTGCAACTTTTGACAGATGACTCAGCCGATGTGAGACACAACCCTCCTACAGAGGCCATCTTGTGCCATTCTGTAAATGGGCACACATCTCACAATTCTTTGGGCTCCATTTTAAGGAGGCTTTAAGGATCATGGTAATAACATCCAGTTGCAGAATAGTGCAAGAGATGGGGAACAGGCCAAAAGTGTGGGTGAGCCAGAATTGCAGTCATTGAACAAAACAGTCATGTGACATCTTGCTTAATGACTGCTTCCCTTAACAACTGAGATTTCAGGCCCAATTGTGATCATAAGTTGAGTACTGCCTATATAATAATTGTAGAATATTATAACTATTGTATAATATTTGAAAGCCATTAAGGATAATTACTGTTCTCAAGCACCATAACAAAGTGTAGTTATTTTCCACAAATTTTTTTCTGGATCTTCTACCATCTTTGATAGATTTGATGTCTGTGTGTGAAAATATGTTAATCAGCACATTTCTAGCTTCTGAATTAGGCACTTCTATACTGTCACTGCTTCTATCCTCCAGTTGCACGAAAGCAGTTTGAAGATAATAGATGATAGCCTTCTATTCTGCCAACTTCTCAATGCTGAGGGGAGAAAAGGGGTCTCAATTTTTCAGTTATTGGAAGTCTCAAAGAACCAAGCATTCCCTCACTTCTGCTCCTTACAAAAACAGCTGGGAAGTTCATTGGGCCAGAGTTTGTACAAGTGTGAAAACCGACCACCCATAATGTCTCATAGTCCTTCAAAGAAAAAACTAACTTTATTGTGGTTTCAAATAGACTGCAACTGAGCCAGAATATATATCAATTGACTTTCTTTTTTTTTTGATGTAGCCTTCATGCTAATACCACAAAAAACCAAAACTGCTTTCACACTGGCCTTGAATCAGGCTGTAAAAAAATATGGCTGGCATTAGTTTTTTTCTGTCGTGCAGTTACAGAGTCAGAATCTTTTCATGCCCAGGGATGACAATCATGGCCATGTTTGGAACTAGAACAAAAGGCTTATCTCTTTGCTTTGTTACACTGCAAGCTGTAATTCAGCTAGAATCTCTGTGTTAACAATCATACTGTATGATACAATGAAAGCCACCATAACTCTCTACCATCCTTACAATATGCCATAGAACTTTACCTGTTGCAGTCACACGTATGAAAAATGATCATGTCATTTTTTCCCAGTGCCATTGTAACTTCAAGCAGTCACTAAATAAATGGTTGTAAATCAAGGACTACCTATCTGTCTTTTTTTATAGATAAAGCAGCCTTCCCTAACTTGGGACATCCCATTTGTTTTGACCTGTTACTTCCAGAATTTTAAGTCAACATGACTATTCTTTTCTGGAATTTTGAAGGTTGTTATTACAAATATATGGGTGTTACAGGCGAGAAAAAGCTCCTTTGTACACCTACAGGTAAACATATATATAACGTATTTATTTATCAAATGCCTATCTAAGTGACTCTGGGTAGTTCACAAATACAAACAATAAAGTCATATAAAAGATACTTAATTAGAGTGAAGAACAAAATAAAATTAGAGATTAAAAGGAGAGTTATAAGGCAGAGTGAACACATTCAGGTTACCAATCATCACCAACCCAGTTTGCGTGCCACTCTTGAATATCCAAGCCAGTTGACAGAGGCAAGTCTTCCGACAATGCCAGAAGGCCAAAAGACTATTAGTCAATCTCATCTCTGAGGACAAAATATTCCATGGGATGGGGACAGCAGAAGAGAAGGGTCTCACCATTGTGGTGGCATGGGCTGTGGGGAAGAGTATTTCATGGATGTCTGTGTTTTGACTTTGTTCTAGGTCAGAAGGCTTTAGGAAAGTCCCGTATCACTACTATGAACCTGGGAGGAGTGAATGCGATGAGTACTTCCTTCATGAAAATGCACCCTACGGAGGCCACAGATTCATCACAGAAAAGAAAGTGTTTGCTGAATGGGCTAAGAAACATACAATAACATTTACACACCCTAATTGGACTTTGTCTTGATGCTGGTTGTCCCAGGATTCCACAACATAGGCCCTGGATTTAAATGGCAAGCGCAGAAAGTGATGGTTCTGCTGTGTGCTGTTTGTGTGTCTGTGTGTACTCAACTGTGGAGGATTCTTATTCTGTCTCATTTTAACTGGAATGTTTGTTTCTTAGAAGTTCAACATGGCCACAGCTTATTTGCTTAGAGGATGAACTTCTGCTAAGAAAGGAAAGCACTATCCTAATGCAAGCTCAGTGCTGTGCTGGGTTCTGTGGATAATGTCTCTAGTACTTGAATTTAAATGATAAATGTTACTATTAAAGCAACCCACCCACCTTTGGGCAGTAACAGGCAGACAAATCAGTCTTGTAAATGTACAGTTTGCATGACTGCAGATTTACTGCAAATGAGCCACTTAGAGATGTGCTAAGAAGATCCTGATCGCACTTGATTTTTAGAAGAGGACTGAGTAGGTCTGAACTCGGAAACAATCCATATGGCAAAACGGCTCCATCACCTCCAAGTGTTCTGACATGGTCTCCATTTTCTCAACATGTATTTATTTAAGTTATACCCCCTTTTTGGAGCACAACTAAGAATGGTGTCTAAGTCCAGGTATATAGTATTGGGCAATGACATTTCTTGTGATCTCGAGCAATTCTCAGTTCTCGAACACCTACCTCACAAAGGGTGTTGTGAAGAGAAATCAATGCAAGTGCAGTGATATTTTTTAATCAATCAAATATGCTTATTTATATTTTTTTGTAGAAGTCCATGGATTCTTGGCACATATTCCTCCTTCTCTCCTATTTAAGAATACTAAACCCGTGTGTATGAAGTCATTTCTTTGAAACTCTACAGCAATATTCCAACTCCAAAAGCTCAATGTAGATTAATTTCTTCAAAAGATTCTTTTTTGCATATTTTTTCCCTCCTTTGATGGTAAGAGAGTCTGGAATGCTTAATAGCCGCCCATGTGTAATTGAAGTGCTACACGTCTTGTTTTATCCATGTCACAGAGAGCATACAAAGCATTCGATCATTTAAATTCCATTTTACTTAGAAAGATTTATTACAGAGATATGAGATCTAAAAAGCAGGAAAAAAAGAAAAATGACAGACATTATACCAAAATTTCATTCTATTTTTTAAGTTGAGGAACTATTTCAATTTATATCAGAGAAGTATGTGTGTTGTATATGTGTGTGTGCGTGTGTGTGTGTAAAACAGCCTAAATAACTTCAAAATCCATATCATTTCAAAAAGTTCCTTAAAAATCTGCAAAATACTTGGATATCCTAACTGCAATACTGTAATCATACTGCTAAAACTTGAAAAAAAAGATGTATTGATCATTTTTGTATAAAATGTTCAACGAGGCTAAGTATTGGATTCATCCCACGTTTTGTATTGCTTTGCTGAATCATGTAAAGGCGATAGCAAAGTCGTATTTTTACATATTAAAAAGTTTGTATAAGGACTGGTTTTTGTATTGTATATGTGTATATGGAGGTCTATAGGTCCTAGATAATCCCATTTCCACGGTTACTAAGTGCCATGCTGCTACATATTGTGTGGTTGTGTATCTTGACAGTATTTTGAAGGTTAGTTATCTTCTGCTCCAGTATCCAAACGCAGGGGTGGGATCTGACAGGGTTAACTACCAGATCGGTCATTTACGAGGTTTGGTGATTTACGATGTGCTTCCCTGTACGCTGCCGGCAGGCACCTGTAAATTGTCATCAGCATGCTGCGTGCAGAGAAGCAGCCTTTCAAAAAGCCTCCTTTTCCTGCTTTTTAAACTGCAGCTGTGCCTTGCACGGCAGCTGAAATTGAAAAAAAAAATCAGAAAATAAAGGTCAGGTAAGAGCCCAGCTGGGTGGGTGGGCAAAAACATCAGCAGACATGGAACTGGTTCTATGTCTGCTGCTCTTCAGAGCTACCGGTTCTACAGAGGTGGACAGAACTGGTAGAAACCCACCCCTATCCAAAGGTAAATTGTTCGTTTTCATCCTGGGAAATTTTGGTAACATCTAGTAAGTTACCACAAGTCTCTGTTTTATTTGGGAATTTGTCACTACCTCAAAGAAAACATAAAGTTGTATCAGATGGTTCAGCAGTCAAGGGTTAAAACAGAATGTGTGTATGGAAAATATCATTTACCATCAGTATATTCCAGTGCTCTGCATTTTTACTATTCTTCAGTTGATTCCATTTTTTTCCTCAAGACTATATTATTACTTCTGATTTGTTTGAATTGTTTTCATATGCTATATATCTTTTTGAAAGCCAGGTATTTCTCTTCTTTATAGAACTCCATATGCATTGTACTTGGCAGGTATAGGATGATATGAATGCTAATGAGATATTTAAGTGGGATTTAGGAATTTATGATCACATGTATAATACCCACATATATCTATTTTATACTACCTCTATAATACAGTTTCCTTCCAGAAAATCCTCCTAGCTAGAACAGTGTCAAGAATAGTTGATTCCTAGACATCCTCAGTATTTCTTGAAATTACATGAAATTAAATCTGGGCAAATTAAATCACTTTGGAGTCTGTAGGGTAGATGTTCACAGAGAAGAAGCAACCGAAGTGGGAGCTGGAAGTTTTAATACTAAATAGATAATATAGTCATTGATACATCTAAAAGAAAGAAAGAGAGGAGAAACTTGGTTGTCATTTAACTGTTCCCTTGATTGTACAATATGTTGTACAGATCTCTTTGATTTTAATAGTTTCTGGGTTTGCCATTTGGGATAAATCAGATGTTGGCAATTTGAATTTGCTGCCCTTGAACTAATTCCAACTTTCCTCTGAGCAATCAATTCTTCAGCTTTGTAGAAAGAATAGAGGCTAAGAGAAGAAAAAGCAGGAGAAGGTAAGAACAAAAAAATAAAAATAAAAGGGCATGGCAAAGAAAAAGAGTAGTATCCATATTATATTTAGCTCTGATTCTGTATTCCATTATCCTTTGTTTTTTCCATTGTTAGCCCAGATTATCTATGATGGAATAAAGACCTCCAATACAAATCTACCTCCAACAGATGAATTTATTTTCCACACTACTCTGATGTTTGAGCGATGTGCCCTGCAGAGTTTTGGATTCAATTATAGCTAGTCCTCAACTTATAACCATTTGTTTAGTGACTGTTGGAAGTTACAAGAGCACCAAAGACTGATTTTCACCCTTACAATCATGGGTCACATGATCAAAATCTGGAAGCTTGGAAACTAACATGTATTTATGACAGTTGCACTGTCCTGGCTCAGGTGATCACCATTTGTAACCTTCCCAGCTGGCTTCTAATAATCAAAGTCAATGAGAGAAGCCAGCTTCACTTAACAACCCTATGATTCACTTAATAACAGCATAAGAAGTTGTAAAAAGGGGCACAACTCACTTAACAACTGCTCTGCTTAGGAATAGAAATGTTAGTTTCCATTGTGGTCATAAATCAAGGACTACCTAAGTAATATTTGCATTCATAGCCTCCTACCAGTCAATTCACCTACTGTCTTGTTTTTTATCTTAGCACCCTCTGTACTGTGGTACAATCATTTTATCATATAAAATGTTTTTTTTTCTTTACCTTGATCTTAAGCAATTATATGCTAGCATAAATGAAGGCCCCTATTAATGAGCATATTTTCTTATGTTGCTTTTCTACATTTCTACATCTTATACCTTTCAAGATTGCTACTCAAGTGTAGTTTTAAGAATGGGGCTAGAAATTTTGTACCTAACATAATTTAACTAATTATATCTGGCATTTATACTCACATATTCCTCCAAACTATCCCATTTATTGAAGAGCATAATATATATAATAAAATCTGCAAAAATATTTGTTTAGTAACTGGTGGTAATGATGAAGAATCAATTTTAATTCCAATTGATTATGGGAATTGACTTCCAAGTAAGTACATCGGAATCAAAAGCTAACTTTAGAACTCTAAGCTTTCCTAACTGAAAATAGGTTTCAGTGAAACTTACTATAGTTAAATAGTACAGAAATTATATTTAACTTGCTACTTATTTTACTGAATTTAATCTCATTCCACAAGTAAAATAAATTTTAAAAACCTATTCCAACTGGTGCCAACTATCAACAATTATCCTAAAAAGACCTAAGAAAATAATTTAGATACCAAGTTAATTTGGTATTAGCTACTTCACAATCCAGGGCAGCATAAATTACATAAATACCTATATGTTGCACTGAGAGAAATTTGATTGATAGATAGAATTCTTTATTGGCAAGTGTGATTGGACACACAAGGAATTTGTCTTGGTGCAAATGCTCTCAGAATACATAACAGAAAAGATACATTCGTCAAGAGTCAAGAATCATAAGGTACAACACTTAATAATAGTCATAGGGTACAATCAGCAATCAAAACATACTAGGAAACAGTCAATATAAATCGTAAGGATACAAGCGACAAAGTTACAGTCATACAGCCACAAGTGGGAAGGGATGGGTGATAAGGAGTGATGAGAAGGTTAATAGTAATAGTAGTGCAGACTTTGTAAATAGTTAAACGGTGTTGAAGGAATTATTTGTTTAGCAGAGTGATGGCATTTGGGGAAAAAACTGTTCTTGTGTCTAGTTGTTCTGGTGTGCAGTGCTTTATAGCATTGTTTTGAGGGAAGGAGTTGAAACAGTTTATGCCCAGGATGTAAATATTTTCACAGCCCTCTTTTTGACTCGTGCAGTATACAGGTCCTCGATTGAAGGCAAGCTGGTAGTAATTGTTTTTTCTGCAGTCCTAATTATCCTCTGAAGTCTGTGTCTGTCCTGTTGGGTTGCAGGACCAAACCAGACAGTTGTAGAGGTGCAGATGATAGACTCAATAATTCATCTGTAGAACTGTATAAGCAGCTCCTTGGGCAGTTTGAGCTTTCCGAGTTGGCACAGAAAGAACATTCTTTCTTGTGCTTTTTTGATGACGTTTTTGATGTTAGGTGTCCATTTTAGGTCATTATTTCAACCATACGTTGCAAC